TGATGGTGAAATCTTGAAAAGCACAGGGGACAGGCGAATTTTGCAGATCCCTGTACCCTGTGCTTTTCATCGGGCCGTATCAGTTAAGATTCACTGTATGTTGTGCATCTCTTTTTTTGCTGACAGATCGGGATATCGTCTTTTTTTTTAAAAACCAAGGAAAAAAAAATGGCAACTACTGACGTTTCAACTTATTATTTTGCAAGTATTTTATAAATATTGATATTATGGCTAAATATTTACATAATGGTTTTGTTAATTAATTAATAATTAAAAGTCTTTTTAATGGACAGAATCATACAATGATAAGAGTTAAAGACCCAGAAATTTCAATTAAATTTTATGAAAATACTTTAGGAATGAAGTAATAATCAAAATTAATTGATTAATTATTATTTAAATATGATTTTTATTTAACATTACAAATATTTTTTAAAAAAAATAAGATTAATTAAAAAAATAGATTTCCCAAATGGTAAATTCAGTCTTTACTTCCTTGCATATATCCCAAAAGATCAAGTTTTACCTAAATCAGATGATGAGCTAAGTGCTTATGTATTTTCTAGAGAGGGTGTATTGGAATTTACTCAGTAAGTAACTATGGTTGTTAATTATTTGCAACAGCTTTAAATTATAAATAAAATATTCAATTAGACCCAATATTATAAAGTAATTGGGGAACAGAAAATAATCCAAATCAAAGTTACCATAATGGCAATACTGAACCAAGGGGATTTGGTCATATTGCAATATGTGTTGATAACATTGAAGCAGCTTGTAAAAGATTTGAAGAACTTGGTGTAAAATTCTCCAAAAAATTAACTGATGGTAATATTTTAATAAATGTTATTTTCTTTAAAATTAATTTATTATTTTGGCTAATAACTAAAGCAATGTCTACTACTACTGCCATTTCATAGGTACAATGAAAAATATTGCTTTTATTAATGATCCAGATGGTTATTGGATTGAAATTATCCCATCTAACAAGGATGTTACTAAATAAAGAAAACAAATTTTTTAAGTTGATGAAATATATATATTTTTTCCCTAATACTAATAAATAAATTGTTTATAAAAGTATTTGGAGCCTTTTTTACACACACCATGTAAAATTATTTATTATCAGATTCAAAAATTGACATTAATATAATTATTAATGTTCCGTCAATCAATGATAGATATTATAATATGTAGATCCGGGATATTAGTTAGTTATCCCCCGATGAAAGTCAGAAAATAATGGTATTAAAAATGTAAAACAATCAACAACGAAAAAAATTGAAAAATTTTTTCTTGATTTATTTATTAAATTTATCTTAAGGAGTTTCCTTGGTTGGCTGTGACTCATTAAGCCATTATGGAACAAGAACTCACAACTGGTGTTTGTTACCTTAAAAGCCACTAGTAAATCACTGTGTCCAAGTCAATGGGATAACTTTTTAAAAAGACTAGCTCTTAGGTCATGAGTTACACAGTTGATTAACACCTTTTGATTTAATCATATTCCTCCTTACCAGATGGCATATGAAAGAACTTCATAGAAGATATAACTTCATCTTCTAAAAAACCATCACCTGAGAAAGCTCTTAGAACCAGACTTCTTTACCTTAATTCAGGGGAGAAACAAACCATATTAAAATGGATTGGTAGGCATATAACAAATGTTATTGATATAAAAATAAAAAAAAAACTCCAATATTTATGTCAATAAAGAAAAATTAAAGACCTGATTTCAAATGGGTTCTTGATGTTCCTTATAATATTAGAGAAGCAGCGATCTTTGACCTATTCAAATATTGCAGCAAAATTAAAAGATTAGATCTAAGAAAGGCAATTGTCATTAGATCAGCAGATTGAGGAGGAAAAAATGGTCATTATTCATTCCTCAAAGGTATTAATTAAATCAAGCAAAGAAATAAAATATGATCATTAATCATATTGGCAAATTCTATTTATGTGCCTCTAAACCATTTGAAATTAAGACTGATAGCCAAGGTCCTAAATTTTCGGTAATAGAGGTGCTGGCATTATTTTCACTTGATCCAGGAGAACTTTCATGATTGGATATAACCAAATGGTGAGGTTATAGAACGGGAAAACGGGACATAAGTAGATTATATCGCTTATGCCTGCATCATAACAGAATTCAAAGTGAAAGGGACTCAATTCATGGTAAAACAAATAAATATAAAAGATATATACAGGCCCTGCTGATACATATCTCGGACCCATAAGATCTTGTGAATGAAGTCATCGAAAATTTGTAAAATGGTAAAACCACTATGTTGTTTTGCTCCCTAAATTTAAGATACGACGGTTTAAGAAAGGTAAAGTAAGCGTGGAAAAGATTAGATAAGATATCCAAATACGTGAATGAAGTTTTCATACCATGAGTGAAATCCTTCACAATCAGAGAATCAAAAAATACTTTACCATTCTTAAATATACAACGTTGAAATTTCTAACGTTTACTTCTCCATTCAGTACAATAATAGCTGCTTATGTTTGATCTGGAACACCATTTCGACAGCCAGTAATATTAAAACATCATTAAATCCCGCATCGTTCCATTGGATAATGATCGAAAAATCTAATATAAAACTCAGAGGCAAATGTTGAACTGGTTTTCGCAAATCCTGTGAGTATCCTTTGTGCAAGATGGTAATCTGAACTGAGGTGTGCGAATGTCGTGGGCGCATCAACAAAATCTTGGACCTTTAGATGTACATCTTGCAAATCAACTATTGAAGTAGTAGAGCCTTTTGTGATACAAAGATATATTATAGAAGTTGGCAGGGGTATTAAAGACTAGTGTTACAGTGGCACACACGCCAAATAATTGGGGCAAGTAATAAATTTATTGGTATTTTTTTTTTCTAAAAAAAATTTTTTTACAATTTTTTTCTTAAAAAAAAAAACTAATTTGAATTTTGTCAAAAAAAAAAATAAAAAAATAAAATAACATTAACATTAAAAATAAATAATTTAATAATAATAATAACAACAACAACAATAATTAAAATATGCTTTCATATAAGGTTAGAATTTCATAGATTACTTTTAAATTATGCAACAAATTCATACTAAATCTTTTTGATCTCTGCTAATAGGAAAATTGTCGTCCAGTCTATGGAACTTTATCCAGAGAAACAATCGATAATGTTGTCGCTCATTCTATAATATACCAAACAAAAAAGGTATATTTTTTCAAACATTCATTCTTTCATAATTTAAATATATACGGCTTATATATAAATTAAAATTTTATTCATGTTAGCTCCCGTGGAGTATAGGAAATCCATCACTTGTAAGAGGTAAAGAATATAATTATAATCATTGCTATTTTTATTTCTCCCTTTTTTTCTTGTTAAAATAGTCGAGTATTTTTAAGAATTTATTCTATAATTTTTCTATAATAATAATTAATAACAATAATAATTAGGTGATTACAAATCAAGAAAATCAAAACATCAGAGCAAAATAATAAATTCACACATCAAATCAGAAAAATCGTCAATATCAAAAACATCATCATCATTACATTCAAACATTGAAATACCCATAAATCATTCACCAACCCCAGAAAATACACTAACAACAAATTCGACTTCAACAAGCATATCGTCATCAAGTCGTTCGACATCTCCAGACAAACAACTGTCAAGCCGTTCGACATCCCCAGATAAACATTTAATAGATAATAGTCTATTAATATCTCATTCAAGCCAATCACCATCATCATCATCATCATCATCATTATCATCATCATCATCATCATCATCATCATCATCATCATCATCATCATCACAATCATCATTACTATTATCATCAACAATAATTAAATCACCACCAACTAAAGAATCGAATAATAATAATAATAATAACAATAACAATAGTAATAATAATAATAATAATAATAATAATAATAATAATAATAACAACAAAATTAACGATAATAATATTACTTTAATATCGTCGCAAAGAGCAAATTTACCTAACGTAATAACTACTGCTACGACTTCTTCAATACAATCTTCAAAACTTAAGTCACTATCATTACCATCACCAACAAAGTCATCATCGTCATCATCATCGTCATCATATACATCTTCTTCTAATACAAGCACTAATACAAGTCCCACTACATCTCAGATTATTAATGGCAAAAGTGATCTTTCCAACGAAATCCAATCTTCCGCTGCTTCTTCAACCACTAAATCCACACCAGCAAGATGGGCCGATCTTCTTCGTACAAATGGTGCAAATAATCATAATTCTGCACAATCTACTCCTCAAAAATCTAATAATACCACTCCAAAATTACAAAGCTCTTCAACATTTGCGAAACAAAGGAAATCTTCTGTCTCGTTGCCCAACGGTAAGCCTATTTTGAATGGCTTGACAGGTATAAATTTCGTTATTATGTATTGAGATTCTTATAAATTTGCATATATATATAAATAAATTAAATGACTTTCAAATACAATTAAGGCATTTTGAAAAGTTATGAACTGTCGTTAAAAGGAACTTTTATTCAACCTCGAGGCCTTATGAATAATGGAAACACATGTTTCATGAATGCCGTAAATATTACATTTCACATATTCCACTTCATCTTTTAAATTTTTACTATTTAGCCAATTATATTTAATCATTTAATATTTAATTTTCCAATAGATTTTACAACCGCTTTCTCATTGTCCTCCATTATACAACCTACTCATGACTGTTAGTAAAGAAGTTGCTCATAGTTTTAAAAGCAAAACTCCACTCATAGATTCTCTGTGAGTATTTTAACCTAATCTTTACGTATATTTCCTTGTTGTCAACGATATTATCTTGATATAAGTTATTATTATTTTAGTGTTATGTTTATGAATGAGTATAAACAATCAAAGCTTGGCGATAATGCCGAAGGTAATGAATGTTTTTATTTCTTTTTAGGTATATTTATATTTAATAAAAAAATCAAACCTCCTCGTACTAATTGGATCATATTCAAAAAAAAAATAAAAAAAAAATAGAATATGGTGAACCATTTTTACCTGAATATGTATATTATGCTTTAAGAGGCCTTAAACGCTTCAATTCCATGAAGGGGCGGCAAGAGGATGCAGAAGAATTTTTATGCTTTTTACTGGATGGTTTACATGAAGAATTTTTAACATGTAAATTAATTAAATAATTGATAATAATTTGACTTAAAGCTAATTTTTATTTATTAATACAATTTTAGTTCAAGAAGAAAATCAAAATATTGTTACACAACCAGATAAAAATACAAAATCTAGAACAAATGGTAAAAATGATGGTGAATGGATGGAAGTAGGTCCAAGAAATAAAACGAGTTACACTAGAACTGTTAGTATAAAGGTTTCATCTACTTATTAATTTTTATTTAAATTAATAATAATTTTAATATTACAGAATGAAATTCAAGAAACTCCTGTCAGTAGAATATTCGGAGGGCAATTTAGATCTGTTTTGAAATGTCCTGGAAGCAATGACTCAATCACTTTACAACCTTATCAGTCTTTACAATTAGATATTCAAGTATTTATTCTTTTTTCGATAGTTTCACCATTTATCAATTATTAATTATGTACTTTTCTATTAGCCTGATGATGTCAAGACTATTGGTGATGCTTTAAAAAATCTTACAGCTCCTGAACGTGTGGATGATTTTTATTCTACTCAAAAAGGAGGAAATGTAAAATTTTCATCCTTTTCTTTTTCTATAATAATTAATTTATTGTATTTATTAAATTTGCTTCGTAAAAAAAAAAAAACAGATCCAGGCTACAAAAAATTTATATATTGAAACGTTACCACCAATACTTATACTCCATTTGAAAAGATTTGTTTACGATAATGTCGGCGGTACGCAAAAATTGAGCAAATTTATTAGTTATCCAGCAAAATTAAATATCCAAGCCGGTAAGTTTAAATATGAATTTTTTTAGGAAAAGACAAATTCTTTATTAAAATTTTATTATATCTATTTCGAACAAATAGATATGTTTGCTCCTAGTCGCCGGCCATCTCAACCGGCAGAATATAAACTTTTCGGTGGTATGTATTATTATTATTTATTATTATTTATTAATATTGTTTTGATTTGTCGCTTTTGCAAATATTAAAATGTTTACTTTTTTTTTAATTAGTGGTCTACCACCATGGAAAATCGGCAATGGGGGGACATTACACCTGTGATATTCTTCGTCAGAATGCTGAATGGCTCCACATTGATGATACGGTGATCACACCGATATCAGCTGAGGATGTGGCGCTAGCTGAGTGTCCTACTCAGCCAACTGATCGGTTGGCCTACATCTTGTTCTATATGAAATCCAACTGATTTGATTTAGTTTGTTTAAAATATACATCATTATTATATTATAATATATATAATAAAAAGTATTATAATTTTTTATTTTGTGTGCAAGTTGGTAAATAATATTATTTAATTGTGAATATTAATAATAAATTTGTAAATTTGAAATTTTTTTTTAAAAAAATTTTTTTTAGTATACAAAGATTTTTTTTAATCAATTATTATATTTTTTTTTAATAAATAAATAATAATACGAATGTATAAAGATTTAGATAAACATTTTAACAATTAGAAGTGTAAATCAATCAGATATTTCAATATTCGCCTATCAGCCACCGCCCACCCATATCTAAATGACTTCCCTTTTAGAAATAGAATTAGTTATTCCTGTTACTTCAGACTAAGCACAGTGGCAACAGCTTTATTACTTACAATGCACAAGTTTACTAATGTTTTCGTGATTTGTTTTTCAAGCGTGATACGTAGTTATAATGGTTTGTGTAGAATTTTCAAATATAAACTTATCCTAAATAGCGAGTGAATCTCTTTTTTTTTTCTTGGTACAAGCGGGCCACTGGCTGGTCCTAATCATTATAGGTACCTAGTCATTCATTTCAAAAAGAATTACAAACTATTCACGTACACACTAACCAATAATTTTGAAAATAGCCTTTTCGTAATAATTCATTTTCTATTTAATTACTTAATTAATAAAACTAACCACTACATATAAATTCTTCTCGAAAGAAAACAAATATGAACGTTGGTGGTGTGCAACTCCAATATCAACCGTTGGATAGTGCTACAGAATAATAATTCAAACAACGTAGAGGTAATAGTAATAGTGGTGTTAATGGTGATAACAATAATAAGAATATTGGTAAAAATACTGATATTAAAAACAAAAACTTAAATTTAATAAATTCGAACGTTAAATTTAGCCAAAGCTAACAGAACAAATTCCCCAATTACTATTCCAAAAACTGTTCCAAAAAGTTTATTATTCAACAAACACCAAAATCTGATACATTTAATAATGATGATGATAATAATTTATCAAAAAGTTCTTCTAAAAGTAACAAAAATATTACTACCGTGCAGTAAATGACTGGGCTGGTAGCTACCATTGCCGTAAATAGCTGTTGGTAGCTGCCATTTGCCGCAAATAGATGCAGTTGCCGTGAATAGATACGGCTGCTGCAAATAGATACTGCCACCGCAAATAACTACAACTGCCGGAAATAACTATGACTGCTGGAAATAGTTTTCAATTATTGTCATTAGCATTATTAGTCATCTTAGTCAATTAGTCAGTCATTCGTTTACAGTGAAATTATGTTACAAATTATACTTTTCCAAAACATTTAATGGATTTCCAAAAGATATCAAACAATCCACTTTTAGGTTTCCCATTACTCTTCAACTACGAGTAATCCCAGAATGCTTACACTCTAAAGTGTAGTGAACAATATTTAAATACATTGGAATAAACAAAATTTAGGCATTATAATTCTAGTCCTATAATTGCTAGATTCACTACAGATAATTATTGTCAAGTTGAATTAGATCCTGGTGTACCTGTAGTATTGGGGTGTCCTACTGGGGTATTCGATATAAGTTGATTAACAAATCTAATTAATGGGGTGCCTTCAAAAATTATTATATTGAGATTGAGATTGAATATTTGATTGGATTGAGATTGGATTGAAATTGAAATT